AGGACTTCATTCTTTCCCATCATTTGATTTCTTGACTGCTGATCCCATGAGCCTTGATTATGGTTCCCTGAAAAATAAAGTCTATAACAACTTCATTCTTTTCTCCATTTATCAGTATACTATTTATTAGTCCAGTTGTGAAAAGTTTTATTTTTGTTATGTTGAAGTGCAATCCATACTGCAGGCTTTTAGTCTTTGATCTTCATCAGCAAGTACTCCAAATTCTCTTGCCTTCTAGCAAGCAAGGTTGTGTCATCTGCATATTGCAGGTTGTTAATGAGTCTTCTTCCAATCCTGATGCCACGTTTAAATCGCCAATTTAATTACATGTTATCCCCAACTTTAAACATATTTAAGTTGCGATGAACTGCATTTATGACCTTCTGTTTTGTTTTTTGTACATATTTTTAGCAATATGCACTGCTAAATAATGTTGCAGCACTTAATTTGCTGATGTTATCATTCTCATGCCCACCCCCAAAAAACTATACTGATAATAATAGGCAATAAGAATGAAAGCAAAACAAAACAAAAGGTATATTCTACTTATGTCTGAAACAACTCATGATGAAGTCATCAGAACAGAACCCCATCATAAAATGGGTACTACCTGTAGTTGGGAAAAAATGTTGTCTAAATGAATACCCCCTTAATGTCTATTTTAATCATATTACACTTAGTATGTACCAGGGAGAATTCCTGCTCTCCTCTACTGTCATCGACATGGCTCTTCCCTTTAGTAAGTATCTTCTTGTACCTCTTCAAATAACAAAGCCATCAGATAACATATACATTACACATAACAAAGGGGCTCTCTCTGTGCTGGAAGTGGGAGCTTCCAAAGTAATGCAATCAGAACTGCATAATAATGAAAACTGATAACACAACCGAAACACATAATCATCTAAATTAATGTAGAAAAGGCATTAGACCAAACTTTCATGTTAAAAACATTCAACAACTAGAATAGAAAATGAATTCTTCATCTTGAATAAAGGCAGCTTATGAAAAACCCACAGCTCACATCAAACTCAATGATGAAAGAATGGAAACTTTCCCCCTAAAATCAAGAGCAGTTAATATAAGAAAGACCAGTTAATATCACTATTACTCAAACTTACACAACAACCACTGAAGCCCATAGGATGAAACTGAAGAATTCTACCAACTTTTTCAGTCTGAAATTGTTCAAACATGAAATCAAGATGCAATTATTGGTAATTTAAATGTGAAGATTAAAAACAAAGAAGGATCACTAGTTGGAAAATAAGGCCTTGGTGATAGAAAGGATGCTGGCGATCACATGATAGAATTTTGCAAGAACAACACATTTATTCCAAAGACCTTTTATCAACATAAAAGGTGACAATACATGTAGATCTTACCAAATGGAATTCACAGGAATCAAATTGACTAATGGGAAGAGATGGTAAAAAAAAAAGAGCTAAGATATCAGTCTGAGAACTGAGGTACACCTGACCCAAGCCATGATGTTTTCAATAGCCTTATATGCATCTAAAAGTTGGACAGTGAATAAGGAAAACCGAAGAAGAATTGATGCATTTGAGTTAAGGTGTTAGAGAAGAATATTGTTAAGTACCACGGACTGCCAGAAGAATACACAAATCTGTGTTGGAAGAAGTACAACCAGAATGTTCCTTAGAAGCCAAGTTGATGAGACTTTGTCTTTAATACTTCAGACATATTATCAGTAGGGAGCAGTTCCTAAAGAACGACATTATGGTTGGTAAATTGGAGGGTCAGCACAAAAGAAGAGGAACACCAACAAAATGGAATGGTACAGTGGTGGCAACAGTGAGCTCATGCATACGGTTACTATGAGTCAGAACTGACTCTTAACACCTAGCAACAACAACAAAACAAAGGACACCAGATACTTCTGTAACATCAAGAATTGAAAAAAAGTAAGCAAAAGAAACTGGAAAAAAAACAAAAAGTTTAATAACATTAGAGAGAAAAATTATAGATGTGGAAAATAAATTCAGCATATACATAGAGTATCTTAAGTAAAAAGAACAGAATAAATGCAACTATAGAAGAAAACTTTTTTGAGAATGCTTTCCATTTGTTAAAAAAAAAAACAAAACCCACAAATCTTAAGGTTTAAAAGAACCATCTTATCTCAAGAAAAATTCTTACAGAATAATTAGCCCTGAGTAATCTTGTTTAATATGTTCAACTTCAAAGATAAATAATCCTTTGGGCATCTAGATAATGATCAACATCTCAACAGAGGGGCAGGAGAGAATGACTACTGTGTTCTCAGACTCCAAAGATGGGAAAAACACGCCAAGAAAATGGAAATCAAAAAAAGTAGATAAAATTCAGGCAATGTAAAAATGTTAAGGTAAAAAATAGCAGTTTACAATGGTTAATGAGTAAGATCCTCTATGGCTCTCAAACGTGTTTAAAGATACTCAACATCACTCATTAGAGAAAGAAAAATTTAAATCATAATGAAATATTGGTTTATCTACTAGCATGGAAACAACCTAAGCACTCTCCTACACTGAGAGATAGAGAATAATTTGTAATTGGTGCTATAATTAGCTTAGTAACCGCCAAGAAAATGTAAATGCACATATGCTTTCACCCAGCAATTTGCTTATAGAAATTGTTCCTGTGGATTTGCTTACACATGTTGAATGATTTTGTTCCAAAATTTTCATTGAAGCATTGTGTGCAGTAGCAAAAGACTGTAAACAATCAAAACATGCACTAATAGGGAGCTACTAAAATAATTGTGGCTCATTTACGTCAATAAAAGTTGAAGCAGCTCTCCATTTGGTGATAAAATCTAAAATCATCTAAAAGCAAGGAAGAAAACAGTTTTTATATAATGCTATCATTTGTATAGAAAGGAAAAAGTATATAGAGATAGATGCTTACAAATTAATAGAATATCTCTGCGAGATGCATATTGAATTCCAAGTGTTGCCTCTGGGGACAACTGAGTGTCTAGAAAGACTGACTTACATTTAAAATATGTATATATCCTGAAATTCCCCCGACAGAAAAATTTCAAGAACTTTTCTTTTCATAATAAATTACCAACTTACTTGCTGGTGATTTCCTTCATAAAGTAACTATTTACTTTGGTATGCATTCTCCACAAAGAAGGACATAATCACAGTATAACTATCAATAATATGAAGTGAGCATTGGTATATTATCAAATCCTCAGAACCAATTCAAGATCCAACTGTTGTCCAATAAAGGCCTTTATAGCAGATAAATACACAAAGGCCAGAATCATATAAATCTATCAAACAAAACAATCCAGACCACATCTCCCTCAAGTCTGTTTGCTGTTTCCTCATGATTAGATTCAGGTTGTATATCTTTGGCAGAATACCAAAGAAGTGATGCTATGTTCTTCTTAAGTTCCTACCAGATGACACATTTAAATTTGCCCTATTACTGGTGATGTTAACTTTGATCACTTGATAAGTTGTGTCTTCCAGTCTTCTATACTGTAAACTTATATTCTTCCCCTTTACAAATTATATGTATTTCATGGTAAGGCACTCTGAGATGCTGAAAATAATCTACTTTTCATCTTATTCATGTATTTGTCCATATCAGCAAGTATTTCTGGATTCTGATTTCATTCAATTGATTATAATGTTTTATTTATTGCTATTATCAATTATTTTGATGTTCATATGGTCCTAAAGTTGGCCAGTTGTTGTTGTTACGTGCCGTGGAGTCAGTTCCGATTCATAGCAACCCTGTACATGGTTTCCGAGGCTATAAATCTTTACGGGAGCAGAAAGCCTCATCTTTCTCCCGCAGAGCAGCTGGTAGTTTCGAACTGCTGACCCTGAGGTTCGCAACCCAATTTGCAACCACTGTGCTACCCAGAGCCCTTTAAATTGATTTGTTTCCTCTGACCTGCCCCCATCAATCTTTGAGCACTTCACTTCATTACCTTTTAGAATAACAAGACCAGGTTTATCTCATCCTTCCCACTCTGTTGTAGTTGTTGTTGTTAAGTGCCATCGAGTCTGTTCCAACCCTTAGCGACTCTGTACAGGGTTTCCAAGGCTGTAAATCTTTACGGGAGCAGAACGCCACATCTTTCTCCTGCGGATCGGCTGGTAGTTTCGAACTTCTGACCTTAAGGTTCGCAGCCTGATTCGTAATCACTATACCACCAGAGCTCCTTAAATCAGTCATCTTCAATGAGTTCTGGTTCCCTTTGGTAGAGAATAGTGTTTAGAAACCAAGATTTGATCATAAGAAGTTGGGTTCATTTTTTCCTAGGGTTTCCATAACAACAGCCCCTTTGAACTGAAACCTGATCAGCCAGTCGTTGTGAGGGGAGTTTCCTTGGCGATGTGGTCTGCATCCAATATATATGGACCTTCTGGCAAAGCTAGCTGGCTTATTTTGCTCACTCTGGATCCTACATCTGGCTTGTCATCATCTGACTTGGTTCTTAGGATTTGAGCCTGCCAGTTTGAGGATTTTGCCTGCCAGTTTACCTCCCAATCTTGGATTAGTCCGTTTCCATAGACCCTGTATGAGTCAGCAAAAGCCTTCAGCCTGAAGTCTAACTCACAGATTTGGAACCTGCCAGCCTCTACACTAGTGTAAGGAGCCATTTCCTTGAGATAAATCTCTTTCTATCTATCTATATATATATACAAGGGGCTTCAAAACGATTGTAGAAAAATGGAGTTAAAAGATACTGGAATTTTCCCATGAACTTTTTTAAGCCCTCTTTTATAAACTTCACTGGTTTTGCCTCTCTAGAGAATCCAACCTAAGACTACCTTCAATGAGATGGGCAGACACAGTGAGTGTAACAATCAGCTCAAACATATACCTATTGTGAGGATGGCACAAGATTGGGAAGCATTTCTTTCTGTTGTGTGTTTGGTCACTATGAATCCAAACTATCTCAACAATACCTAACAAAAACAACATGCATATAATCCCTTTTCAAAAGAGAAATTATTATCAATATAACTGAAATTTGATAAGTGGTGGACAAATTAATAAAATATATTTTCTTGGTGTAGAACAAATGATGAATATTGCATGAAGTTGATATAGAAATAGAGGCACAAGCATATTGGATTTTGATGGTAATCACTAGAATTAAAACCAGACATTGCTATAAAATGTGGTCTTGGAGATGAAGGGAGTATAGCATGGGACAGGAGGCATGGAGCAAGTAACTATCATTTTCCATTGTAAGTTCTCTTGTTTCTTTAATTATACATTACTTTGATTAACTATTTCCCTTCCTGGGGTCTGCCTTTGCATTTTCACCTTGAAAAATTCTGTCCATCTAGAAACAAATATTCACTTAAATCTTCATTTACTGGTATTAATATTTTTTAATTTAAATCTTCATTTCATCTTGAATCCATTTTGATATATAATACTGATTATTTCATTAATTTACAGAAAGATAGTACACTGGATGCTGCTGAAGAAATCATCAAGGCATGGAAAAAACAGAAGTCTTGATGCGTGCAGACTGCATTAATTTTTGTATTAGATGTCATATGGAATTGTTGGTGCTGCCACCTGCTGAATATTAAAAAACAAGTCATTCAGTACAAATGGAATTTAAAGAAAATTTGCACTGTTTTTCCAAAGACGTTACCCCCACAATATTCAGGGGACCCAGTTTTATTTGTTCAGTTGAAATATATGTAAACACCTTCTATTAACATTTTTATGAGAGTTAGTATAGATAAGACCTTGGAAGTACTGGTTGATCCTCATCATAAAAGGAGCATAATAATAGCACCAACTTTATATGATTGTTCTTGAGGATCAAGTAGACTAATATCTGTAAAGCCTGGCCAACAATAAAAAGTTATATTAACATCAGCCCTTTTGACCTTGCTATTTTGTAAAAACTCCTGAACAGCACCTCTGCTCCGTGTCTTTGCTTTGTCTTCCCTTCCTTTTATTTACCAATGTCCTTGAACTTTGCTCACATTACGCTTTCTTTCCCAAGTACCACCATCATTTGAGGAGGTTTCAAGGTCCACATGGATGACCTAACTTTGCCATACCTTGACCTCCTCCTGGTGATACTTTCCTTTCTCTACTGCAGCTACCCACTGTCACGTGCACACCTTGAACCTTTACCATTTCAGATGATTTCACTTTTAGGGAAAATAAAGTATTCACTTCATACTGTAACCACATACCCCAGCTGTCTTTGCCACATGCTCATTCTCTTCTCAACTCATCTCAAATCTTACTCTTTAAACTCACTAGATTTTCAAATCCACTATATATTTTTTTTTAATGGCCCAAGATCTAACTTAATTTAGAGTCAATTAGTTGTTGTTGGAAATACAGACTCCAGTTTTCACCCCAGACTTACTGGAGAATTTCAAGATTTGACACTTCCCTGGTAATTCTTGTACACATTAAACTTTGGTAAGCATTGCTGTAATACATCTCTGTCTTTGTCAGTCCCTTTATATCTGTACTCTGTCCAAGTTAGACATCTTGGTGGCACAGTAGTTTAAGCACTTGGTGGCTAATCAGAAGGTTCAAACCCATCAGCCACTCCACAGGAGAAAGATGCGGCAGTTTTATTCCATAAAGATTTATCACTTTGAAAATCCTGTAGGGTAGTTCTACTCTGTCCTATAGGGTATCTGTGAATCAAGATTGACTCAGTGGGTGTTCCTTGTCGATATAGATTTCATTGTCTATCACATCTTCAAAGTTACTTTTGCTACACTGAATTTCTTGCCCCATTGATCTATTTCACCTATTTGGCCAAAAAATAAAAAGGGAACTCAACTTAGGAGTTGAAACTTCAGGCCTACACTAGGGCTGCCGAGTACTACTGAACCGGATTGCACAATTGGGCAGATGATGTTGTTGTTAAGTATCAACGAGTTGGTTCCACAACTCAGTGACCCTGTAAAGGGCTTCTGAGGAACAGCTGGTGGGTTTCAACCTATAACCTTGTGGTTGGCAGTCCAGTGCTTTTTCCACAGCACCACAATTTTAGAAACTATAAATTGACATCACCAACCTTAACTAGACATAATTCTATGTTCCCTAGTAATCTTTCTGTATGTTGTTGTTATATGCCATGGAGTCAGTTCCGACTCATAGCGATCCTGCACAGGGTTTCCGAGGCTGTAAATCTTTACAGGAGCAGAAAGCCTCATCTTTGTCCTGCAGAACAGCTGGTAGTTTCAAACTGCTGACTCTGAGGTTAGCAGCCCGATTCGTAACCACTACGCTACCAGAGAAATTCCACGTATTCTTACTAATGTCTCATTTTCCATGGAAGTATCAAACCTCTATTCTCCTCATACCGCTGCCAGCATAATTCACTTATAGAAAGTGACTTCACCTCCTGCTGCTGTGAAAAACAACAAAAGCAAACACAACTGGGATCCATTATTTAGTCTCCATCAGCACCCATCCTTGCTGCATTCATTCCTGTTATAAAATCATCCCTTGGCTTGTCCAGGGCTGACAGTGCCACGTAGTGCTGGGTGGTACAGAGGATTGGTGTTTACAATTACCAGGACCTCAAGAGCCAACTATTTTAAAAACAATACAAACCCCAAATGTTCAGCTTGTCCTCTCTTTGTTGTTAAGTACCATCAAGTCAGTTCTAACTCATAGCAACCACCCTTACAGGGACATAATTTTTTTTTTTTTTTTAATCAGGGCTTAAACCCTTTGAAGCCCTGGGTTTGTCTAGTGATAATCCCATAATTTAGACTCTGTGTCCTATATCTTCTCCCTTTTTGAGGGACTTGATTCAGTCCATTCTCATGTCTTTAGCCTTTACTGGCTCCCCTCCTCAGTACTGAAAACATCCTGAAATCCTTCCCATCTGATAAAATCCTTTCACTCATCCTACTTACTACCCCTTTCAGGAGTCCTGATGTGGTGCTGTGGGTTAATGCACTGAATTGCAAAGTTGGTTTGAACCACAAGCTCAGTGGTTCAAGCTCACAAGCCACTTCTTGAAAACTCTATACAGAGTCGCTATGGGGTGGAACTGACTCGATGGCACTTAATAACAACAACCCCTTTCAGGACAAGAAAGAAATACTTCCTCCTTTCTTTCTTCATGAACAATAGTCATTGAACTTCTGCCATGTGCTAGACACTGTTCTAAACACTTAGGGTGTTTCAGTGAACAAAGAAAGATCCCTCCCTCTGGGACTTACTTTCTAGCCAGAGGAGAGAAACGAAAGTATAAACATAATGGAATGTATTTTGTTGTTGTATGCTGTTGAATTGATTTTGACTCCCAGCCACCCTGTATGAGATTAGAACTGCCCCATAGGGTTTCCTTTCTTAGGCTATAATGTTTGTGAAAGCAGATCATCAGATCTTTTATCCCACTGATAGTTTCAAACTGCCACTCTTTATGTCATTATGCAATATATAGTGTTTTAAAATTATACATGATAAATGTATGAAGAAAAAGAGCAGGATGAAAGTATTCTGAAAGCAAACTGGAATTTTTAATTGGTCAGATAAGTCTCATGAAGTGAGCATGGAAACAAATGTAAAGGAGAGGTATGGAGCCTTGCAGAGATCTGGGGGAAGATAATTCCAGGCTGAAGGAATAGCCAGTACAATAGATCTGAAACAGGGTACCTAGTGTGTTTGATCAGTACTATGAGCCTGGTGTGGCTGAATGGAATAAGTAAGGGAGAGAGCAGTAGGATGTTAAGTCAAAGAAGTAACAGGACCTTGAAGACTATTGTTAAGAATGGTGGTTTTACTCAAGCGAATTAGGGTACCATTGTATGACTTTTTAAATATGTAAAATTATGTATATTACTTGTAACTTTCCAAACTGGAAACAGTGCAAATGTCCATCAACTGTATAATGTCCAATTATTTGGGGGCATACTAATGCAGTGGAATACCATACAGCAATAAAACAGCTACACACAATAACATGAATCTTAACAACACATAATATTTTCAGAGTGCATTCAAACAATCAGCTGGAGGTCTCAGTAGAAAGAGTATTCTGTAATATTAAAATTTGGTAATGCAATTATTGGAATCTAGCATATCAGTCCCAACCTTGTGGTTTCTAAAATTCCTGTCTGCCCACTGGGGTGAGGACTTCCACGTTTAGCCATTCGAGCCTAGGACTGTGTCACAGGCATCTGGGTGATTCAATAGATATAGGTCTCTACCCAGAGAAACAGTGATGCCAGAGATAGAAGCAGAGATGATAATGAGGAGAGATGGAGTGGCTGGGGACTCTAGACCCAGAGAGGGAGAGAGACTGTGTGCTGACAGCCAAGGGGCAGGTTTGTGGGGTATACACTTTGGTTGGTTGATGATGCATGGAGGGGATTGTAACCATGGCAATGAAATGATATAGGATAGGATGAATGTAAAGGTATTGTTTTCCCATGTAAACTATCACATAATTCACAATAAAACATTTTTTTTTTAATATATAGGTTATTGCCCTTTCTACTCATTTGGAACAAGGAGACCTGATTGGGGAGGAGGAGGGAATAGATTTTAATTGTTTGATGTGTAGATGACTAGTACAGTATTTGCCCCAGGAACATTTTTAGGGTCTGACCTAATGTACGTAAGACTTTAGAAGCCAAGCCCGAACCTGAGACTTTCTGATGCCCAACTTGATATTCAGGCCTAACTGCTTAGAAAAAGTGTAATTGCTGCAGCAGGAATCACAAAAAATGTGGACTAACAGGGCTTCAGGAACCAGAGATTCATGGAACAACAGACCAACAACAGGCTCTGATTGATACACCTAGCTCACACCTTGTTCGATATATTGGGCTGGTTCTCCTGCTAATCACTAATTTGGCTGGTGCTGCTCAATGTATTTGGTCTTGAAATCTTTAAATCATACCTGAGCTTGGCACCTCTCTAGGTTGAAGTTTCCAGACTCTTCCTTGTTGAAGGTTGGGTACCTGACTTCTCAAATAGCATCTCCAACCTTTATATTTCTGTTTTCTGCTGTTGAGAGTACATTCCTTATGCTCTCTTCTTGAGGTGACTTCAGGTTATTGGAGCTTCTTGCAGACTTTGAAAGGATCACTCCAGTTGCTATGTTAAGAATAGCCTGGGGCGGCAGTAGGGGGCAATGCAGTAAAGGTAAAGTGGATTTATGACAGCAATTCAGGTAAGGGATCACAGCAGTGGCAATAAATGGGTAAGAAATAGATTCTATGTATATTTTGAAGACAGAGCCAACAGAATTTACTAACAGTATATATGAGTTATGAGAGGAAATGAGGAATCAAGAATAAGTCTAATTTCCTGGAGCAGCTAGAAGAACAGAAGATACTTCTTGAAAGACCAACAGGAAAAATACAAAACAACAATGGCAGCCTGACTGACTACTACAAGAACAAGCAAGTTGCTCGCCCAGGAGACATCAAGCCAAGTGGTTGGGTCCCCTCAGTGCAAACCCCCTTCCAAGATTAAGACTCAATGGGAATACACACTCTGATTGGTGACCATGT